AACAATAATACAGTTGTACTCTCACTGTTGTTCAGTAGTCTTGGCCTAGTGCCAGGCACACTGGTTAAAGGTTTGTTTGTGGTCTGAAAGAAAATGGCTCAAACACTGTATCTTCTATCATCTCCCAGTATTTTCTCTCTGTGACGCCTGCACCTCAACAGAAACTTCACCCCTCCCAAGTAGCTAAACAGTAAAACAATAACAGAGGCTAACTGCTCCATGCTGTTGCTGACTCATTGCCGTGTGACTCGCTGCAGATGCCGTTCCTACGAGGACTGCTGTGGGACTCGCTGCTGTGTGAGAGCCCTGTCCATCCAAAGACTATGGTACTTCTGGTGAGTTACTGTGTGTTGGGTTTACTATGTGTGCACAGCTGTGAAAATGAGCAAAGACCAAACAAACAAATAACACAATCGTAAACTTGTGCACATTTTTTACCATTTTGTTTAGCAGGTGTAGCTACATTAAAGAGCTTTACCCTGTGGTTACACTGAATGTGCAGCATATGTGGACTGAGCTTTCTTTCAGTGGTGACTTCTGGCGCACACATTCGACATAGAGCTGACTGAATTACAGGCAAAACAAGAGGCTGTAATTTGTTTTTAGCATCATATTGTGTCCTCTGCTTTTATTGAGCACAGTGGGTAGAACTTCACACTGGGTTTGTGTCATTTACAGACTACAGTAGACTGTGTAGTTATTTAATTATCAAGCAAAATTCAGCAGGTACTCATCACTGTCAGAGTAATTTCTTCTACACTGGTAAAAAAGTCTGTTTTTAACTTTTGCACATAAAAACTTATGTGTACAAATATACTGTATGCTGGTCTCATTCAGCAACCATTTCAGTGGCTATTCTGTTAGCATAATGTTGCAGCAACTGCTTTGCAAAGATGTTTAGCTTCAAGGTTTTTGAAAATGAGAAAAGATTAAAGGTCTCGCTAAAAACTTCTTAAGAGAAAGAAATCATTTTTTAAATAAAAGTTGAAAATAGCTTCCCATTCTGAAATTTGACTTCTTAACTGCTGTTTAGAGCTGTTTAGACTTCCATCTATTAACTCTACCCCTAAGTGATTGGTGGATGTTAAGAGACTTAACTAGATTGTTTTCCAGTGGCTAAAAAATTCTGGCTATTATAAAACAGCTCTTAGTTCATAGGATCAGTTTCCCCAGTTTTACTGACAAATTTATGGTGTTTTCTTATTAAATACAACATGATAATTGTTGACATTATGACCCCCTTAATGTCCACAGTGATAATAGTTACAGTTCCTAAATTCATGGCTGGAAAGGACCTAACACACAAGATGCCAAAATGCTGTTCTGGTTCAACAAACCTTTATTCATGAAAGTGTGATTACTTATAAAGAATGAACATAAGTAACAGAGTTGGGAGGCCCAGCAACAACAAAGCAAACAGAAAAAGGACAAGCCGCACTTTCCGGATCACTCTGTTGGGTGTAGAGAGTCCACTTTGAGGATCTCCTTAATCCCACTTCCATACCTTCTGTAATGGAAGCAGAGACTGGGGATGAGGGGGATGACTTGCCTGTCACTGGGGGTGAGGTCACTAATGTAGTTAAAAACTGCTTGGTGGCAGACTCCCCGGGGGGGAGGTGGTTCTCCCCAGGCTTTGGGTGTTGTGGCTTTATTTTGGCTGACAAGTCTCAGCACCTCTGGTTTGACAGACTGGGGTGGTGCCCCCCCTTATTAGAAGGGGGATGGAAGGTGTGCTCTATCTATAGGGGGAGTCACACTTCTCAGCCTCCCTGGTCTGTGCCAGGATACAGGAGAGGAGAGTCCATGAGTTAGTTGAACGTAAGAGTCAGGAGGACTGGACCAGCTCAAGGATATTTGAGGGAGTTTTCCTAACCAGTCGGCCTGTGTTTTGTGGACTATCCTGTGGGGTGGTGCTGAGGGAGTATGGGATGTCTGGGGTGTTGACCTCAAGGCCGACCTAGGAAGCTGTCACGGACTTGGGTCTTTTTTCCTTGTGCCTCTATGATTTTGGACCTTTAGTGGTTATTTAAATATTCTGTGTCTCCTAGCTTCCGAATATCTATTTGCTCTATTGTTGTGTCTCTATTGTTTGTTTTTTTTTCATTATAGATTTCTGTAAGTGAAGTTATTGTTTCCTTTGTATTTCGGAGTTATTTTGTATCCCTGCATCAGCCTTTATTAAAGGACTTGTCTCCTGTTTAATCTTGTCTGCCTGTGGGAGTCTGTGAGTCTGCTCGTGGGTCCTAATCGTCACGATCAGCTAAATCACGACAGTAAACAACTCGATGTCCCCCCCCGGATGAGCTGCAAGAGGTGGGTGGGGTGAAGGGTTTGTCTACTCAGACTCCAGCCTCCAACCCGAACCCGGATAAGCAGCAGAAAGTGAATAAATGGAATGATGACTGACAACATATTCATAACATCAGAGATGTCTTTTAGAAACAGCAAGTGTAGCTTTCATGCTTATTAACATTTTTTGGTAGCAAAGTCATGTCAGTGTTGACATGTTAGCTGGATAGTTTGCCACATAACGTCATCATACTGATTTTAGCCAGAACTCCTGTATTTGCAGTGATATGTTTTGTTTTCTTCTCAGGGTGCTGCTGATGATGGGGGTGTTGTTCTGCTGTGGTGCAGGCTTCTTCATTCGCAGAAGGATGTACCCGTCTCCTTTGAGAGACGAGCCAGCCTTCAATGTCTCCTTCACTAGGCACCCTGTTACCACACCAGGTACAGTAG